TGGACTTTGCCTTCTCCACCCAGTAATTTCTCCTGAAACTATGTGTGTTAGCAAATAGATTGTGACCAATTTTGTTTTCTGAAGCTTTGGAATATTTAAAGGAACGTTGCTGAAACTCAGGATGGAAAACTGCAGCACAGATCCATTTATTACCTGGGGAGGGTATAGCTGAAATAAATTCTCCCCCCAATATTTTCCTATCTTCCTCCCATGCATGTATTTTTAGATTGCAAGCCCAGAGGGAACTTGTTTCTTCTTTGCAAAGCAAGATGGCACAGCGGGGCTACACCACTGGTGCCCCTTGGATACTTCCTGCATGGCCCCCGGAGCAGACAGAAACCTGCCCCCTTTACAACTGTGGTGGGGGGAGCAGAGTGGGGGCAGAATGTCCAGGGAAGGGGGCACACCCAGACGCAAAGAGGGGCCGAGCTAAGGTGAGATGGCTTGTGGAAGGTTCTAGGTTCACTTCCAGCGTCTCCAGGAGGACTAGAAACATTCTTGCTGGAAACATGGGAGGGAGGGGGGTCTGTTGCTACCAGACTGAACTAAGCATATTCAGGATGTTCTTAAAATGGGCGTGTGGACCTGGCTGGAAGGCACGTCACAGTCTTGCCTGGGTCAGCCAGCCACATTTTGCAGGGCTTCTGATTGTCTGTTTCACTTCCCGTTTTTCTCCTTTCTTCTGAAAAAGGGGCCTTCTGGGGGCTGACCTCTTCTCTTTGCAGTCACAGGAACTTTCCCCCCTTGCTAAAAGAGGTCAGTGGCTCTGGAAGCCAGGAATGGGGAACAAGGGATGGTGAAACCCTCTTCCAGAGCAGTACAGCAGTGGAACTTATGACGCCGGGAGGATGTGGACTTTCCCTCGCTGGAGGCATTCAAATGCAGTTAGAGGGCCACCAGAGAGGGGGTGGACTCGATGGCTTTATAGGCCCCTTCCAGCCGTAATACTCTGTAAGTCTGGCCCGTGGACCTCGTGTGGCCACCAGGGCAGCTCATCTGGCTGGCAGAACCACCTCTCTTCCTTCAGGGGATGCTTGTGGACGTTGGAGGAATCTGCCCTAGAGGAAGAGCTCCAGTCCAAGACAGTATGGGGGGCAGGCAGCAAGGGGGTTGACCGAAGCAGCTCTCCTGGGAATTGCCCTGTGTCAGGTGCCTGGAAGGCTGCAGCTCGTGCGCTTTGACTGTGCGGTGCCTTCCGCCGTTGAGAGGATGTGGGGTGGGCTAGGCATCCCGGGCTGGCGTGTTGGTTGGAGCGCTGCCCAGGGACTGGGGGCGGGGGGGCGCAGCCGTGCAGCCTGAAGTTATCTGGCTGATGAAGGGCCAGGTGGGTGGGAGCAAGCTGCCCGCCCCAAAAATGTTCCCACGCCTGCTATGAACCGGTCCTTGGTATTGTGACTCAGATGTGTCAGGGTTTCCAGTGGTGTCAGGCCGTTCGCAGGGCAAGAGGGGAAAAGATTTGTTCCCTTGTAAAAAGGACTTCAAAGGGGTGATGTAGATCAAAGCAGCAGATCCTTGGTAGCGTTCACTGCTTGCTGACCCAACATGCAGGAATGTGGCAGAAAAACCAGCTTGTCCAGGCGATGCATTCGTGTCGCAGAAGAAAAAGCGACCCAGAGCTGTTCGTTGCCATTGTGAACTGTTTAAGTCAACATCTTAACTACCCAATCTATTCCATTCTGCAGGCCCATTAAAGCTCTCTCCTTTCAGGTTGGCAGGTGTCCTACCTGAATATTTCTGAGTTCTGTCACGGCCGTAATCATTACGATAAACCAGATCTTTTCCTTGCGTGAGTTTAGATTTGGCTGATCGTTCATTTCCCTTAAAAAAAAGACACACATCTAGCGTGCGATTTATGAATGCAAGTTTTGTAATTTATGCATGAAAAAGATCCTCTACTGAGGTTGCAAGCAAAACAGCAGGTAACATTTCCAGCTGAAATGGGTCTAGTAGTCCAGCAAAAGCTCTTTGCAGACGGTATGTGTGGGCACACAGATGTATACAGAAATGGAACACGCTTTTCCAGAAAAGCAGAAGTAAAATGTGACATTGTTCATACTAAAAAGTGCTTGACTGTATAGAATGAGCTTCTCTAATCTGGTCTCTTGGACTATAACTCCCATCATCCCCAGGCAGTGACTGAGAACCGTCCCCTATGGAAAAATACAAATATGCCTATTTCTTGTTGTTTCCATTGTGTTGCAAATAAAAAGATGTTCTTTTTAATAAATGCAAGAGTGTTGATGCAGAGGAGGTACTACAAAGGCAATGAGCCACAGCTATTGCTGGTGACCTTGTGGTGGGCCCAGAGTTCTCAATGAGCATAACGCCAGCTCCTGGTACATCGAGTCATGTCTAATGCATTATGCATCTTTAGCCCTGAAGAATTAATTTCTGGGAGACAGTGTGGTGTAGTGGTTAGGGTATTATCTTACCCCATCAGAGTATTTATAGCACAGACCCCCCCTCCTAGCAGGGCCCCCCATGTTTGGCCCTTAAAACAACAAAAAGCCAGTGTGGTGTGGTGGGTAAGAGCACGGGACTGGGACTCCGGCGATCCAGATTCTATTCCCTGCTCAGCCATGGAGCCAGCTGAGTGGCTTTGTACTGGACTCTCAGCCCAACCTACCTCACAGGGTTGTTGTTTTGGGGATAAGATTGACAGCCGCAAGAGGAGAGTGATGCAAGCCACTTTGAGTTGGTAAGACAAAAGAGGGATATAAATCTAATAACACCTGAGGTGCCTGAAGGATGCAGCTATTACACAGGTGTCCTGGCACTGCTGAGCTGATGGGGGCTTCTGCGAGAGGAGGTGAACCCACGCTTGACCTGGGCGCTTGTGCTTCGTGCAGGGTTTTTCTCCCGGGGTCTGTCTTTCTCCAGCATCCGAGCACAAGGAGCCCTGGGGCACCACTGCCACGGCTGGATGGCTCGGTTCTGCTTTCGCAGCTTAGCGGCGGCTGGTTTTCCTTGCTCGAAAGTGAGCTGCGAAAGCCCAGGGGATGGGAACCCCAGGAGCAGCCCTGGGGGGGCGGGTGCTGAAGGGACTGGCGGGCTGGGCTTCCACGAGTGCAGGATGGCGCACCCAAGAAACGCCTGCCTGCAGCGAAACTGCCAGAGCTGAAGTGCAGCCGCAGTGGTGGTCCGAACACGTCTCAGGCCCTCCCTCGGGGAACCCGGCTAGGAAAGACGCTGGCGGAGATCCTGGAAAGCTCTTACTCGGCCCGATGGACTGGCAAGGCTGAGATGCCTCTGGCTGCATCTGCATCCTGTTCATTCGCCGAAAGCGGATTCTAAGCATGTGTGCAATAAAGGACACGACGGGTTGTTTGTTGTACCCAGCATGTGCCTGATGAGGGATCGGGACCACCGTGGGTTGTTCACGCCGCCCCACCTCTTCTAGACCTCACAATGGGCTGTAGGACCGACGTGTCTCACACTCCCTGCCACGATCACAAATCATTTATGCCTCAGTGTGGCTCCCCCACCCCGTTTTGTCTTTGGAGATCCCCGCCTCCAACTTGACCGCTGGCTTGAGCCGTTCCCACCTTGACAGCTTCGGATCGCCCTCTGTGCTTGCAAGCCCTTTCCGTAGTAATATTTTGGGATGCATATTCGTGCACATTTTTAATTTTAAAAAAGTTATTTCACAAGTGTGTACCTGCACACTTGTGGAGGTCTGAAAATAAGTAACCTTGTGTGGGTGATGATCAAGGAGGTACCTGTTGGCAAAGTGCAGCAGGTACCAACTCTGGATCCTGACCCAGAAAGGCCCCAAATAGCTTCCCTCCCGCCATGTTTTTGTTTGACGGCTGTCAAAGAGTGGCAGCTGTCAAAAGTATGAATGATCTGTGTTTGCAGAAAGGGGGTGGGGGGGTTTATACCCCATTTAGAGCAAGATCCTCATCTTTTCGGTTTGAACTCAGCTGTGGGCACTGACTTTTCCATTTGCTTCTGAAATGCTTGGATGCTCAAAATTGTTTTGCGTTGTTTTGATAAGTTTCCCCACCTTTGTTGGTTTATTTTCTTTCCCAGGGACCTGAGCAGACATAACCTAAAAGCAGGTCACCTTGAGAGGTGAAAGATCCATGTTTCCATGGCAATGCAGATAAACCCAGAAAATTACGAAGTTGCTAGGGCCATTTTTAAAAAAAAATCAGGGCCCATAAAACAAGACTTCTTGTAGCACAGTAGAACAGGAAAGGGGTGCGGAGCGGGTCTCCCCACTGTGCTGGGCAGTGGCGTAATTATCAAGTGTAAAAACGCAAAGGAGCCTTAAATATTTATACCTGTGATGGATTTCCCTGTGCAGAGAAATGGATGTGCAATGGAAAATATAAGCAATTGTCACAGAGAGCTGAGAAAAAATTGAGAACAGTGAGTGCTAACCATACGTCAGTTAAATCACTGTGACAAATAGCCGGTGCTAGAAGCAAACAAGCAAATATTGGCCAACTAAGGGCAATAAGTTGCTATTCCTGTTGGCCAGAAAATGACAGGGCTTCATCTAAGCTACAGCTTCATATCTTGAAATTGCACTGAAGCTGCAGGGATATGCAAGCGCAGATCAAAAGGGAGTTTTGAAATTCAGCTTTTCCTTTGAAAATTCCCCAAAGGTGGAAAGCCATTTGGATTGAAATTTCATGAAACAGGTTTTTTTTTAACAGTGCCCTCACCACGCTGTTTAAAAAATTCACATTTTGCTCCTCCCCACAATTGTTAAGAAAATATGGGCTTCACAATCACGATGCCAGGGTGTAACCGAGAGACTTGCTCTTGGATCTTTCCTGCTTCAACTTCACCCTCCAGTTTGCAGAAGGCAGAAGGAGCAGATGTAATTCCTGAGGGAAGAGGAGTTCTGCGGGGGGGAAAAAAACAAAAAATGACAACTTTCTCATTTCCTAGCTTGTGAATGATTTTAAAACACTGTGTGAACCTTCTGGCTTCACCCTGGCAAACTTTGATGCCTTGATGTCGATTTTGGTCTTGTGGTGTCTGCTTTCAGTATAACTGTAAAAGAATTGGGGCTGCGCCAAAGAAAGAAAAAGGCAGGGCCAGAAACTCGGTGCTTGCTTCATATGGTCTAGAAGCATGCACCGTGCTGCAAAACCCATTTCCTATATCGCTGTGCTGTTCTCTATGCTGGGTGGGAAAAGGTAGGTGTAAGGCAACTCGAGGGACTCATTCCTCTTCTTAATTTCCTCAGAAATGTGTGCCAGGCGTTCTTGAAAAGCTGTAATGAGCTGCTTCGGTTCTTCCTCCACAAAATGCTCCTCATCGTATTGTCCCAGCTGTTTCTGGGAAAAAGAAAAGCAGGTGAGCTTATGCTTGGGACAAGGCTCGCCAGAGATCAGGTCTACAAACAGTGAGGTTGTGTCTCTGCCCATGCACAGAGTGGGCCTCCATTGCCACTGACACATTCAGAAATAATCCCTAGCTCCCTCTCTATTGCCACCCAAATCTTCTTCTTCTTCATCATCATCATCATCATCACCATCTCATTCCTATACTTTCCAGTAGCTGAAGCCCTCTCTGCAGTTCACCCAGATCCTGGAGAGGAATTTTCCTATCACAGCGTCAGTGGAAACAGCTGCCCTTCATATTTTTATTATTCATTTATATTTAGAACCCACCTTTCTTCCTTTTCCAAGGAACTCAGCGCAGCTGACATCATTCAACTCCTCCGCCCAAGCTTATCCTCCCAACAACAGCCCTGCGAGGTAGGCTGGGCTGAGAGTCTGCAGCTGGCCCAAAGACACCCAGTGGCTCCATGGCTGAGCGGGGACTTGAACCCGGATCTCTGCCTCCCGGTCCGGCACTCCTAGCTCCGGCGCCCCATTGGCTCTCCTTAAGGCCCAAAATTGGCCCGTGCACCAATGCCCCCTCCCTTGGCTAGGCTGCTGTGATGTCGCAGCGTCTGGGAGTGGCGGGGGGCGCGCGGCCTCAGAGGAAGGCATAATTTCAAGAGAGCCTCGGAATAAGAACTGCAGGACATCGCGGGCTCAGGCAAGGCAGGGCAGAGCAGCTGAAAAGCTGACTCGGGAAGGAGACCCAAAAATGGGCCTCGAGAAGAAGGTGCCACCAAGTGCAGCCGCTTTAAGAGGATGTGCGGAGGAATGGGAGAGGCCGGGCTTCATATTTTGACCCGCACTAAACAGCCACATCTCTGGTTTGTGCCAGACACCCCACTAAAAACTATGAGAGAGTTTCTCCACCTCCCCCCCTCCCCCCGCCAATCTCCATCCTCACCATATCCAAGTCCTCGTTGCGCAAGACCCACAGGACGGAGAGGACCTGGCTGGTGGTGTTCATCTCTGGGATGGTGTCCAGGAACTCTCCCAGTGTCACTGCAGCCTTGACCTGGGGGGGCGGCTTCCTCATGGATGAGGGCAGGTTCGGCATGAAGGCCCCCAGCTCAAACTGCAGGCCAAGGAAGAACATGTCAGGCAGAACCCGTGTGGGGACCTGCTATTTATTTATTTTTATTTCTTTTCCGATTTATATCCTGCCTTTTTCCTACAAAGGGCTCAAGGCAGCTTACATCATTCTCCTCCTCCATCTTATCCCAACAACAACAACCCTGTGAGGTAGGTTGGCTGAGAGTCTGTGACTGGCCCAAAGTCAAGTCACCCAGTTGGCTCCATGGCTGAGCGGGGACTCGAACCTGGATCCCGAGTCCCAGTCCCATGCCCTAACCACTACACCACACTGTCATGTGTATATACATGGAAATATGAAGTGCCCCAACATTCTGCCCTTATAGTAATTATTCATATCACAAAAGCTGAAGACGGGTTGTAAATCGATTCACCCAGACCGCTTCGTCATCGACTGGATCCCCAGCAAAGAGAGTTGCTGATACAGGTCAAAGTTAGGGATGGATGAAACTCTTGCTTTTGGCATCACTCAGTTTTCCCTGTGCAATTTTGCATATGGTTCATCCCAAATTTAAAGAATGTTTCTCTTCAGTTTGCATGCATATCGCAGGCCATCTGCCTGTGTTTCTTCGAGTACATGCATTTTCGCAGGCCATGCTGTTGAATATATGAATATTTGCAAGGAATTACCTTACCAATGCATTTCTGCACATCATTTTTACTGATGCTGGCCTATTCTGTCTACTTACGCTGACGATATTTATTCAGCTATCCATGCAACATTTGGCTTGCAGAACCACCATTGCAAAGTTCAGAAAGGCACAAATTTGGAAGGATAACCGAGTTTCAGTTTGTGCATTGTTTTGAAAGTGCAAAATAGGATAGGTGCCCATTACAGTGTGAACAGACGGATTTCTTTCCCAGGCCTTGTCTGTGTACTACCCCAAACATACTCCTGCTCAAAAGGAAAACACCGTATCAGAGCGCATGTTTCTCAGCGTGTAAGCACTACAAAACCTTAAGGAGAGACAGGGTGCGCCTGGCAAGTTTTGCCTTCCCCCGGTTTTCTCACCTGGCCACTGTTCACTGCAGCATGGTAGGCAGAGCAGGTGAAAACTACCATTGTCAGAAACTTGATGAGTTCAGGGACCGAGCGGAGAGAGGAAGGGATGCCTGCAGGGAAGCAGAGTGTGCGTCATGCATCAGAAGTCACCAGACTGGCAAGAGTCTGATAATGCACAGCACGGAAGGAAGGAAGGATTGGGTGAAGCGGGCCAGATGTGGAACCTTTGCTTCGATGCACCATGCTTGGCCAGGACGGACGAGCGTCCGTCTTTCCCCTGCCCAGGATTACCCCTCACAATCAGCCAGAAAGCTTCGTCTCTGGGGCGGGCTATATAAAATGAAACCTAGGACAAGGCCCGCAGCTGTCCTTCATGCTGCCCAGAGGAAGAGCTTGGAACCTGGACAATGTCATCACCTAGCAGGGACCAGAAGTTTCTGATAGATACCCAATCCCCACACGCACCAGTTCTCATGGTCACCTTCTCGGGAGTTTTTAACCTCGCAGATTGTTTTGGGAGCTAAGTCTGGCTGAAGATAGGCCAAACCAACAAATGGCCTATTACAGTTCTGGGGCTGGTCCGAAGGACTTTTCAGTTGGCCCAAAAGCGGTCCAACATTTCTGACTGCAGAATTTCAGGATCCCTTCCAACTTCCTGCTTGACTCTGAGAACTGATAAGAGACATTGAATAGCCTGGCCTTTCGCCAGGCTTTTGCCTTCCAGATGTGTTCAGCTGCAACACATCTGGAACACAAAGGCCCAGAAAGGCTGTGATTTTAGAGATTCAGTGGGAGCTAAGCTGGACCACAGAGTCATCGGTGATGGGCCCAGGTTACCCCTTTCTCTACCTCCGTCCCACATTTGACAAGGCAAGGAGTTGCCTGAGGCCTGTGTGTGTAGAAGAGAGTCGATCTGTTTTGGAACTGGCCCAGAAACGGAGGAGAGGGCTGACTTTGCTCTGTACAGGAAATCCGACGGTTTCCCTCAAAATCTGATGGGGAACAGGATGTGGTTGGAGCGTTCACTCTATGCAGCCTTAATCTTCTGCTCAGAAATTATCTACCCATGAATAAACTTCACAGAAATGTAGTAATTCTTCAGTGCCACGGGCATAGTTCTGGATTTGAAAAAATGTGGTGGGCGCCACCATGGAATGACTTCCACTGGGTACGTGGCCAGTCACTTGGGCGCTGGAAACTGATCAAGGGAAATCAAATCTGAGTAAGCACAGAATCTTCTGAAACGTTGCACCACATGGAAGGGAGAGAAGGCCCTGTCAAACTACAGGATGGAGCGTTCCCACTGCAAGGTTTGCTGGTGGCTCAGATGTGATCCACTTTTGGGGGTGGGGTCTTTACAGCTGTGGTGATTGTGGGCGGTGACCATCAAGAGTGGAGCAAATGTATTTATTAGTTAAAATTGTCCTATGCCGTCCGTTACTAAAAAAAAGTATCTGGATGGCTTACAAGGAAGGAAGGCAAAGCCATAACAACGACACACGACACGCTGCATCTAAAATAGTGATTCAAACAGGATTAAGAACAAGTGATTGTTAAAATACCGGGAGAATAAAAAGGTCTTCACCTGACGCCAAAAAGAATCGAGCGACGGCAGCAGGTGAACCTCCCTGGGGAGTGTGTTCCACACTCGGGGCACGTCTCCCTCGGTTCCCCCACGCTAGCCGGGGTGCCAAAAGAATCTCCGTCTTTTGGTCTGCTCCCTGTCTGGTAATGGCTGATCCCCAGCTCAGAGGCAAATGCCAGGAATCCCTTGTTTAGCTACCTGGGCGGTTTACTCCCCCACAGCTTTGCAAAGTGGGGGTGACTTTGTAAGGGCTTCTGCGTTGTGATGGCGGCCTTGGGCCTTAGGAGAACCCTGCAAGCGATGGGCAAAGGACATGTCTTTCTTTTGGGCCCGGGAAAGGTGGATGGAGTCCAGACAGTTTGGCCAAGGGGGCCGCTCCAGACCACCTGTGCCAACACCTGTGATTGCAGATTCTGATCAGAGGGAAGGCTTTGGGAAACGCAACCATCCCGAAAGAAGGAAAGCAGCAGGAAAGGCAGCCTGCCATGCTAGAAGATTAATTTTGTGGTTAGCAGCGTACCTGATGACCGTCTGGTCAAGAACCCCCTTGTGAAGATGTCAGAAATCCAGGCCTGCAGCTCATAATCTCTCTGAACGCAGAGGTTGTTTTTGTAATATAGTTCCACAATACCAGAGACAAAACTGCAGGGACAGAGAAAGAAGTCAGCTGCACCCGGACAAAACAAGCTTTGTGCAGGTAATTTGTGGCCCAGGTTTGCTGGTTACGTTCCTTCCCAGAACTCCTGGGGAACACCATGATTCCTTCCTCAGTCTGACCTGGAAGTCCTTTCTCCCCGACCATCTCTACCCATCAGACTCAGTTTCCCTGAGGGAAATTTGCAGGGGCTGGGAGAAGATTTAGAGAGCGGTTCTGAGCTGCATGGCCCAGGTGGATGAGCAAACCCCCTGGGAGGCAACAACACCTGAGGTATACTGCAGCTGTACTTCAGGGCCACCTGGTGACTGGTTAATAGAAAATGTGGAAAGGGGTGTGAACCCCTGGAAAATGTCACGTGTCAAGCATCCATTTTTCCTCTGGTATGAAAATGGCAGAAGTGGGTTAAATTCCTCATGCAGAGAGGCCCCAGCTGACTGCTTTCGCTGAGAGGGTGGAATTGCGGGGAAGGGGGGAATGTCCATCTGTGCACCAAAGGAGCAAGAGCCTCTTTCCGGCGAGGACCGGGCAGGGGAGATCAGCTGAGCTCAGTGAGCATGTCAGTGTCTGCTTAGAGCTTGTCATCTTGTTCTGGTTTTGACGCACTGATCTTTCCTCTTCCTCTGCCCTCCTCTTCTGCTTTTCCTTGTGTGCTGCCATTTTTGTTTGGAAGTCTGATGGCAGGCACCCTGCCCTCTCTCCTTTGATCACCGTGAGCTGCTCTAGGTATGATTGTCTGAAAAGCAGGATGAAATTCTGCAGTTTTCTTTTTTTTAAAACCTCCTTACCTCTCAATGGCATCCCATATTTTCATCCCATCATCCCTGTAGTAGTAGTTGAGAAGGGAGCCGACACCCCGGGACTCGATGTCATCAGGGAGGCAAAGGTCAGTGTAGGTCAGGTTATCGAGGGCTTTGCTCAGAATCACGGCCAGCCCTTTGCGTCCGGTTGCGATAGCCTGCAGGAGGAGAAAACCAACCGTGCAGGGTAGTCTCAGACCAGATGTGCTGCTGAGGTTGATTTCAAACTTCCTCTTATTTTCCTCATCCCTCCCCAACCATTTTTCCTTTCGTGCCATGTCTTTTTAGAGTGTAAATGTGAGGCCAGAATCTGTCGTTGTCTTTTCCTGACTGACTGCAAGCTGCTCCCAAAATCATTTTTGGACATGAAACGGAATAATAATTTTACAAAAAGCTTTGAATGAATGCATGAGCATTTCTAATGAGAAGTTCATGGGTGGTGCCAGGAGGGGACTCTCAGCCTAACCTACCTCACAGGGTTGTTGCTGTGAGGATAAAATGGAGAGGAGGAGGACTACGGATGCTGGTTCTGGACAAGTGTAATAATAATGTTACATTATTAAAAATTCCTGCCCGGGAATTTTTCTTTTTAGAGATCCAAAATGATGTATACACTTTGTAAGTTGTAAGATGGGGATGATGGGTGCTGCAGCCCAACGCATCTGGAGGATGGATCTATAGGGTTCTTTTGGTGGTGGTAGTTCTTGTATGTGGTGCCAGATGGACCAGTGCCGAACTAACGGGCCCCTGGACATGAGGGGCCTGGCGGAAAAAAGGAATTACAGAATAGTTTCACAACATCCCTTCAAGGTTGGCCTATGCATCCATGTGCCACTTACCCGATCAAAGGTGCCTCCCTGACTGATGAGGTATGTTCGAGCCAACACATTGATGTGGATTGAATACCGGAGGTGCGGAATCAGAAGCTACAGAAAAGAGAACGCAAACACACATGAAAGCAAAGCAGATTGTTACCTTCTCCAACCTGGTGCCCTCCAGATGTTTGGACTGCAGCTCCCAGGATCCCCAGGCAGCATGGTCAGCAACCTCTGGAGAGCACCTGGTTGGAAAGGCTGCTGTAATCAGGCCAGTGTGACTATAGAAATAATCGATTCTCACCCCGTTCCTACCTTTGCCGTTCTCTCACTCTGTTGTTTCCCTATATCTGTGATCTGTGGGGAAGATCTTTGTAATTCACCAAGTACCTAGACGGTGCTATATAAATCAACCTCAACAATTATGGGTTGGAGCCAGACTTAGCCACACATAAAGTATTATGGATGTCTTTCAGCCTGAAAGCCAGATTTTATTGAAGGCAGCCATTGGGTTCAAACCACACGAAACCTCAAAATCACGGGTCAAGTGTGGGTTAAGTATAGGTTGTTGTTGGGTTTCCAACTGTGGCCAGGTTCATACAACCTGACAAACAACCCTGTGCAGTCCTCGTGGTTGCTGTTTTTCCCCCTCAAACGACAATCAAGTGGTTTTTGTGTTGGTGCGGCTTCCACTCTTACACCTCGCTCTTCCTGTTACGGCCATGTAACCTATCAGCCCCCACACCTGGGATTTAATCCCAGGAGCAGGCTCCCTGCCTACGTTGCCGCTTCTCCCTCATTGGCCTGCAGTGTGGCCTGGATCCTGCAAACACATTTTACCTTCAAGCTCTTCCTTCCAAGAACCCAGCCAGAAGAGAGACGTTTTGGCCTTTTAGACTGGGGAAGAGACACACTGGAATTGGGGAACCATCAAAGAGTTCACGCCTGGGAGAGGTGCATGTGATACAAACGGATCGGTACATTGCCCTCTGGGGAATCCTACGGCCTGGACTGAGACCATGGCTTCGGTCACGGAGCAGCAGTTTTGTCCAGAGAAGTACTGAGGCACAGTGTGCAGCACCCTCATTAAATTTTGCCAGTTAAAGGATCTCTGAGCTGTCCTAAAGACCTCCAACTCCCTCTGTCATGGACATGCAGAAGGAGTGTGTTATTTCGAGTTGCTAGCGCAAGCTTCCTTTGGGGTCTCTGCCCTCCAGACTATGCTCTCCCCTTATCTCTTCTCAGAGCTCTTGGAAAAGCTCTTATTTACTTGAGACGGGGTTCATTCGGCCAGATCTCAGGGTCTGTCACAAGCCGAAGAAAGAATGAACTGGGTTGGCTGCTTGCCAACGGTAGAGCGAACTTCCTCAGTTTGTAAGCACGTGCAAAAGTTCTCGGGCCACAGCGGCCTGCCCCGATAGCTGTGCATGATGGGTGCAAAATCGCAGGGAGGACAGCAATGCCGTGGGTTGCAAAAGTACCGCAAGAGACTGGGCCGTGAGGATTTGCTTGCTGCTGACCAAAAAGGGCTTCCCAGCGTCAGCACCTTGCTCAGAAGTTTCTTGCGGCTTCTTAGAGTTGTCTTGCTTTAAGAGTGAGCGCCTCCTTCATACATTCTCTCACCTCCACCCTAAGAAGGACTGGTGCCCAGGGGTGTGGGAGGGATCTTTAGGGGATGGGAATCCATCAGATTCCCTGGGCGCAGCTCCCCAGACTTCGTGGGGAGGCCCAGAGTCCCAGCTGGGCTTGCCAGGGATCTGTGCCCCCTTCCCCTGCACATCCCACTCGGGCCGGCAGCTGCAGGTGGGGAAGGAGGCTGGTCCCCAGGCAGGGTGCCGGGTGCGTCCCCCTGCAGCGCTGCTTTCCCACAGTGAGCAAGCGAGCGAGCGAACGGGAACAAGTTTAATTGCTGGGAATGGCAGCTGGCACACCTGCACCTGGTCCCCCTTTCCGTACCTTGCAGGTGCAGCTGATGGGGAAGGTTTCCAGTTGCGCAACCGGGGCTCCGCCAGCGTTGCTGGGCTTCGTCTTGGCTTGGCTTGGGAGTCAGCAGAGGCTGGAGGGACGGACCCTCTCTGAGCGGTGCCTCTTGGCACACTGTTCCCTCCAAGCCAAGAGAGCCACTGAAATAGATACTGAGGCAGCCGCATAACTTGCCCTCAAGGGTTGACCAGGGGTTGGTTGGGGGTTGCTGTTGAACCCTGGGTCATTGTGTTGTCTGAACCCAGCGGAGATAGCGAGGCATGGTTTATTAATCAAAAACAACCCAGGCAGAGGGGTCGGGTTGTGACTTGGGCATTGGCCTGTTACTGTGGCTCAGTTCAGACAACACACTTCAACAGCAGCCCGCTTTCGTGCTGTCTGAACCCAGCCAGTCAGGCTAGAAATAGGCAAAGAATCTGACTTGAAGTAAAGTTGTTTCCTGATTCACGCAACCTCTGTCTTTTTAGCAGGAGTGCACGGATACAGGCAGATCTCGGTGTTGAGGAACAAAGGTTTCTATCCTCGTACTCTAGAGGCGGTGGGTGGCCTCCCCCCTGGGAAGGCTGGCCATTGGGCAGGGCACATCTGGGTGTGCTTGCACAGCTGCAAACAGCCGCCTTTGGCCTTGCCCCAACCACTGCAAACATCTGGGCAGGCCCTCCCTCCCTCAGCCAGGCACACCTGCCGGCCACCCACAGAGCCAGGGGCCACGGGGTGTGCAGAAAGGCGCTGGAGGGACACGCCCGCCCTGCAAAGCCCTGCTCGGATGGGCGCACGTGGGTCCTGGCTTGCCCTGCTGGGAAGGGCGCCGCCGACCTCCCGTCCCACTTCCTCAGGGTCTGCATTGGCAGCAGTCCCTCGACCGCAGCGTGCAAATCACGCCCCCTTCTCCCCGCAGCCCAGCACTGCCTTCCCGCGCAAGCGCACCGAAGGAACGCACAATCTGTGGGTCTGCACACAGCCCCATCGGTGCGCACCCTGCCCTGTGACTCTCACCTTGTAGAGTGGGTGGCACATGGGCAGCTGCCTCAGGGTGGCCACGGTGAAGACCTCGGCCATGAGGTGGCCACGGAGCAGGTGCGCAATCACCTCGTGCGTGTGGAACTCGGCGTTGCGCACCCACGTCTTGGCCAGAATCCAAATCCATCCGTCGTCGGTGGGCAGGAAAATGGGGCTTTGGTGACCCGGGTGCTGGCTGAGCTGTGGGCAGCGTTGAGAAGCACAGAGGTTAACCTGGCCCTTGGGTGGAGCAGTTTATAATCTAGAGGCAATCCCTTATAGGGAACGGCGGGGGGCACTTGGCAGGCAAGATAACCGGGGCGCACTGTCCGTTGTGGGGTTGTCCAACCCCAACGGCTTCCCTTGACAAGCGCCCCTCTCCGTCGCACCCTGATCCCTCCCTTCTGCCCCAAGCCCACGGCAGCGTCCACCTGCTCACCTGGATGGCGATAGGGGTGATTTCTCCCGTGGGCTTCTGGTGCAGCAGACACAGCGGGGCGGCGATGAACTGCTCCTTGCCGTTCACCAGGGTGGTCGGGACGCCCTCTAGGACCTTGTAATCCGCTAGGAAGATGGTCCCTTTCTGCAAAACAAGCGCAGGGATTCGGGGAGTCTAGCAGAAGAGGACGATGGGGGTCTTTTGCGTCTCCAGGGTTGCAAACCTGTGCGTGCGTTGTAACGTTGTAAGCCGCCCCGAGGCTTCGGCGAATGGGGCGGCATAAAAATGTTTTAATAAATAAATAAATAAAATGTGCTGGCTTGTGCACGTGTGTCCTGAGGCCACCCAGCAAACTCTCCGACCAGCTCAGCATCCTGGGTTGGGGCAGGTGATGATCCATAAATAGGCCGTCTCCCTCGAGGGGCTGCACCAAGCCTTTGGGACACCGCACCGGCATATTTGGGAAAAGCACATGCAGGAATGCAGAACTGCAGGTGGAGACGTCTCCGCAGGCAAGCAGGCAGCCCGCGAACCTGCAGCGTCACACGTATTTTGCCAAATGCACAACTTTCTGTCCTTTTCCTTAATGCACCCAGCTCAAGGGACTCTTTTGAGTTGGGAACTGCACTGTGGAATCCTAAAAGGACCAATTTCAGTGCATTTGGTCCACAGATGGGTTTGCTAGGGGCAAACAGGGCACGTCCATATTAGAAAAATGTAGGCCAAAGCAATTTCTCCTCTGTCCTTTTAACATGCCACCAGGAAGAGCAGAAAACAGTTTTCTGGCTGGCCCCTTTGGGGAGGAAGGTGTGTACAAAGCCATTGTACACACACATATAAATAAATACATTTGTCTATGGCTTTGTAACTCTCCGTTCCCATGACTTTCTTTCAGGGGCGTTGCAAGCCAGGGACTTGCCCCGAGAGCCTGCCGTTCCAGTGTGGAACCAGTACAGCCTCACCCAGTCTTTCTTGCAGCCCAGCTAGTCTGCCTCAAGCTTCTGGCCCAGCAGCGAAGAGCTCTTATCTCTGTTCAGCAGCTGAGTGGAGAAATGAGCTTTCCCCCACTTAGTGCTGAAAAAAATCTGCCTTTCTTAATGAGTAGCAGGGAACACTTCTTATTCCTGCTCAGCTGCTGAACCAGTTTGACTTACTGCTGAATTTTGTCCTGGGGATGCCTGTCCTGCTCACTGGGGAGTAAAGAGGCTGCTTATGTCTACTTCTGAGTAGAGGCACAGAGGCTGTGTGTTTGGGGTACTGTCTGGAAGTGCGACTGAGTGATTCGGTCCAGCTTGCTTCTGAGCGTAAAAAGGGTTCCCACTGTACAAGTGCGGTGGAAAAGCCACACACCCTGTTAAGGATGATGGATCTGAGCGTGCCTCGAGGCACACCGGTGCCGCTTCTGGTCCTCAGCAGACACTGGTTGTGGCCCTTTGGGCTTACAAGCCCATGAAGCTTCTGCATAATTGGAAGTTCCTGTCCTCTGATCATTGTACTGGTGCTGTTCGGCACCTTTTTGGTAGTATTCAGTTCCATGGGTCTACTCCGTGTAGAACTAACCCTGAATAGTACACCCAGTTTGCTCCCTTGGAAAATTTTGGTAGGGTGTCAACACTGTAAATATAAAAATGGATTGGAGGACAGTCCCCACCCCGCATCCAGTTTTGGCCCTGAGATAAAGTAGAGTCAGAGGCACGATCACGCTTACCTTCAGCTCTTCTTTGAGGGTGGTGGACTCCCCCAAAGACCCAGCCACCATCTCCTGGGTCACAGGGAAATTTGCTGGGATTTGGGTACATTTCCTGATCACTACTGGGTTGATTCCGTTCAGATACTGGTAGCCAAAGAACTCATCGTCTTTCCAGTGCTTATACACATACTCTGAAGAGGTGAAGAAAGACAGAGCACCATGCTGAGCATTGTAATAATCACGAGTGGAACACTGCAACAAAATCGAAATCGAAAAAAATCGAAAAATAAAATGTTGCAGCGTGTCCTAACATGAGTGCCTTGTTTAGCATTCAAGCCAAGCAAGGTCTCCAGGATCCTGGAAGCCAAGAATGGGAACCTATTCCCAGCAGGAGCGGAATGTATATGAAGGGTGCTGGCAGAAGTACCAGTTCAGGATCCAAAGCAGTGAGTTGATTTCTGCGGAATGGTCCCTTTGGAGCTTCCACTGGGATGAGAGGAGGGGATTGGCCTGGGGCTGAGACACCATCCTCCGCCATCACTGACCTGAGGCGGGGGTGTGGTAGAACCAGAAGATCTTGCGGATGTCCTCCAGCTTCTCCCAGGAATAAGGCCTGTCCAAGAAGCCCTTCATTTTGGCCTCAAAGAGCCTGAAGAAGGGAGGGGGAGGGAGGGGAATACTCCATCATGCTGTTGGATGTTGCAGGCACCTCCCTATTTCCAGACTGCGCATCTATTTAGACCAACGTTCCCCAGCCTGGCTCCTTTCTGATAATTGAAGCCTTACAGCTCCCATCATTCCCGGCCATTAACCAAGCTGGCTGAAGCTGACGGCTGCTCTATGAAGACCGTTTGGAGGATAAGGAGGAAAATTACGGCAGATTTCACCCAGAGAAACCTCCTAAAAATGAGGACTGATCCACCGTGGAATGGGCTGCTTGGAAAGGTGGTGTGTGTGTGTGTGTGGGGGGTCAATTCTCTGGAGGTGTTTAAGCAGGGGCGTGGGGGCCACCTGTCAAGGATGCTGCTGGTGCCCTACAGGGCTGGGGGCTGGACAGGAGAATCAGCAAAGCCTCTTCCATCTCCACAACCCTGTGAAAAGAAAGGGCGTGGGATGGCCGTCGGGGGACATGGGCTCCACCTGAACAGGGATCCAGCGTGTTCCAGTGGTGGTCACAGCTGGCTCATTTTGGGATAAAACCCCGAAGGGCGTGGGTCTGGTCAGCATCTGGATGGAGAGTCCCCATCCTTTTGTAGGTTGGATTCCGGCTTGGGAGGGAGGTGGGACAAAGATAAAAGGCAATTGTGTGGGATTTTCTGGGCAGCCAAAAAAGGAGGATGCCTTGCGGGGGGGGGGGGACACAACCTCCGGCCTCCCCCGTGAAAGAGGCGCTTGGCCCAGGACTTACGCGGCGGTTCCACGCCCGAAAAAGGCAGAGGCTTTGGGGAAAGAGAAGTGGATGTTGTACTCGATGCTTTCCGGCGTGTCGATATCGGCGCACCAGGGAACTCCTGGCAGGTATTCCTTCCACCTGGGTAGAGAAATCGGGGTGAGCAACCCCATGCGCCAGCCTTCCCCAACCTGGCGCCCTCAGGAAGTGCGGGATCGCGACTCGCATCACGCATCCCCAGAGAGTCTGTGACTCACCCGTATTTGCTGTGCCTCATTACCAGCTCCTCTCGCCGATGCCTCCGCTGCAGGTAGTGGGAGTCATCCGTGGGCGTCTTGGCTTTCGAAGAAGGGAAGAAAATCGGAATATATGAGGAGCTTGTATTCTCCTCCCGCATCACTGTCTGGGGGTTATTCCCCCCCCCCTTTGCCTAAACTTGTAGAGGGTTGCAGCCAAATTCTTTCTCTCTCTCCCCCACGACCCCCTTTCTCCGTGTGTGTGTGTGTGTGTGTGTGTGTGTGTGTGCATCTCACAGAGTTCTTTTGGGATGAAATGCAGACTGGCTGCGGAGGTGGGGTGGGAAAAACCCTGCAGGAGTCTCTGTCCTGGAAGACACCCGCGGTAATTAATAATGAATAATAATAATAATTAATCAGTAAAAAGTAATGAAAGAGGCTTGGCGCTCCGACGTGTGTGCACGTGTCTCTCTCATTCGGAACGCCAAGTCGCGTGGGCAGGCTCAGCTCACCTGTGCCTTCCCGGAAGGAGACGGTGCAGTATCCCTCGACCCAGGTGTAACAGGGGAAGCGGAAGACCTCCCCCTGCGGGGACGTCACCCGGACGGCATCGCAGAACCAGCTGCTCTCCGGGAAGAAGGAGTAGGGGTCCTTGTGCAGGCGGATCAGCAGGACCGGGCCCAGGTCGTGCTCGCAGGGGACCTCCTGCTCTTCTGCCTGTGGCGGGGGGCAAGGGGAGAGATTGGGGTTCCGTTCCCTGCGCAGGGTGAGGGGGCAAGAGACCCGCCTCTCCGGCTCAGTCCTGGACCGGCGCTAGCAGATGCACGATTTGTGCCCATCATTGACCTCAGGGCATTAAGTCCCGTGCTACTTCTAAGAGAAGTAATAATAATTATTATTAATTACCCACCATTATTTATCACCATCATTATTACACTGTAGTTTGGATTGTGTCATGACTGAGCACTTTCTGATGTGATTTTGTGTGGGCAGAAGCTGGGCGTCTTCTCTGCCCTTGCAACTTCTAGCAAGGCCGGCATCCGGGAACATTTTCCCCTTAAAATGAGACTCAGGAAGGGGACTGCCAAATGCTTAAGTCCCCCAGAACTGGGGGATGCAGAGCTGGATTCACACGTGACCCCTGGAAAACCCCAGAGTACTAGAGAGGGGGTTTGTGGCATCCAACAATCTATCATGGACACTCAGCCCAGCCTACCTCACAGGGTTGTTGTTGTGAGGAGAAGATGGACGGGAGGAGGAGGATGAAACCCCCTTGAGTTCCTTAGAAGGAAAAAAGGTGAAGTATAATGTTGGGTGACAGGGACCACCACGCTGCAAAGTCACAAGGCTTAAAACTCACACACCCAGAGCACACCACTCAACAACAGCTAGGACACATTTCAGCCGCTTTGGCTACTGGAGCTGAGTGGCCAGTGGCAGAATTAGGAGATGGCCCATGAGAGTGGAGACCTGTGTCTTTCCCTGGAGCCCGGGATCTCTGGGGACCCACCTGCCCCCACCCTGCTCTCCATGAGCCCTGGCTGAAAGAGAGGTCCGGGTGCCCTGGGGGGCGTTGCTTCTGATTCCCCTGATGAGTGGGCTGTGGACCCCCTGGGGCTTCCCCTCCTGCTGCTTTCCCTGCTTGATTCTCCCCTCCCCCCTCCCCCCAAAATCAAATGCCCTTCCCTTCCCTGTACATATATCCCTTTTGTAGAAGTCAAAGCTGTTTGAGTATTTTCCGGTCAACTGGTGGGAAAGTAACCGTGTCATGAATGGCGTTACTTCATATGTCTGAGAAGACTCAGCATCTAATAAACATATCCATGACAACTTTGGCTGGAGTCTGTGTCTCACAGCAGTGTCCTCGTGCAAAGCTCGCCTTCATACATTACAGTAAGGTGTTGTGCTTCACGTCTAGTTTGGGTGGAGTTTGTGTCTGCATAAATCCGCATAAAAAACAGCAGATGAGAGAAGTGTGTGTTGATTGCTCTTAAGAATTTAAGCTCTTACAGCACTCTTATATTCACAGTAATCAGGTGGGTTTCTCTTTCGCTCTTTGCAACCGGCTTTCTGCTCCGCGTCACCCAGCTCCATGCATGTCCAGAGACCGCTTGGTTTTGCAGCCAAACCAAACAGCGCGAGCTTTTCGAGAGGGGACTACGGGAGACGTGTTTGCACCAGAGATACAAGCCCTGTCCAGCCAGGCAGTATGAGCCATCCTACTCAGGATTAAAATTTAGCAACCCTCCTAAGAGGTACAAATCATGGCAGAAATATGACAGGCTTGAGTCCCATGATGCCGATCCCCTGCCCTTCCCGGTAAGCACCTTGGCCTGCCTACTAGCAAACCTCAGCGGAGGCTGAATCAGTCGTCACTGCTTTATCTTCCCATCACATTCCATGCCTTTGGAAATGACCTGTGGTTACGCACATGGCACATACATCAGTGGGAGTAAGATTCAGGCGGAACAGCTTTTGATTTCCTGTCTCGAATCAAGCGATCGGGTGAACCAGCCTTTCCCAGCTGGGTACTTCCCGGATGTCGCCTAATCCATCTGGGGAGGACCAAAACAGGCCGCAGAATATGGCTGCCGTCAGCGTCCTCTGCCTTGAACAAACCCCGCAGGCCCTCTGGTTCTTCCCGTCATGAGGCTGCCACAGAAGCGGTGGCACATGGGTCACATCCTGCCTCTGGGCAGGTCCACAGAGGCCTTTGGACCCTCTGCAGGACCTGCCCTCTGTACAAACCTTGTCCACAACTGTGCCGTGGCTCCACCGTGCCGCCTCCCACTGGGGAGGGCACAGAATGGGCAAAGCACCGCCGGAGGTGGAAATGCCACAGGGGACAAAGGGCAAAAGGTGACATCCGTACCCAGCGATTGCCGCTCCATCAGACCCTGCTCCTTTAGCCCCCGTCTGCTGTCCCCACGGCGCTAGCCTCCCTGCACGGTGCCCGAAGCATGCTGTTTATTTGCTTGCTTGCTTGTCTGTGAAATGCCGCTCAAGCCAACATTCCCGTGCTTCACATCAGCCGCGCTTGGTTATCCTCCTGCGTCAAAAGTTGGAATGTTTATGAACATTCGGCGGGCCTGCATCGCGCAATTCACACACACACATGTTGCTAATGTGTCCACAGGCACGATGTTTTCTCAGCCTCGTTCGGGCGCATGTGGATTGGCTTTCCCAATTAGGCTGTTGGCAACGTGGGGAAAGTGATTACTGATCTCCAAATGCCATAACTCAGCCATGAGCTTCCTTTGGCACTGCACCCGCCGAGCCAGTTCCCGGCGATGTGCGAGGCCCTGGAGTGACAGTGACTTACTGGGAGGCTCAGCAAAGGGCAGACTCGTGCGTAAGCTCCAGGCCCTGGTCCCGTGCCACCAATTTGCTTCCCTCTGCATCCACCTCCAGCAGCACCGGGCAAAGGCTGGCTCTGTGATAGTCACCCAAGGCACATCGGTTCAGAGTGGAGGCTGTAATCGTGTCAGTTTCAAAGTTTCCTGGGAAGGGCCTGAACTTTCTCTGAGGAGCCGGGAGAAGCAGAACGGTCTGTTACTGACTGTTTGGGGGGCGCTTGGGCAAGACAACCTCAACACTCCTCCCTCCCTCCCTTTGTGAGTTTTGCTCTGCTCTCATTGCCACTGGCTGCCGTTTCCGGCACCCTCCTCTTGCGATGGCCACCGCGGGGCCAGTGGCTCCTTCCACGGGAGAGCGCCACGGGGCTCCTGCAGTGGGGACGCTGTGTGCAGCCGATGGCTCTCCGGCTTTGTCCCCTGGAGTTCCATGTAATCACTTTTTCTTCTGACACATCAGCATAAACAGGTGCGCTTTTGGATGGGTGCAGAATGGAGGTGGGGCGGGGTGGTGGGGTAGGGTAGGGTCAGGTAGCGAGGAGGCAGAGGTAGGTGGGGTAGGGTAGCAAGGAGGCAGGGGTGACTTCCATACTCCCTCGCCCTGCATGGGATGCCCAGAAGCCTTCAGAGCATTACAGAAAGCCCGTTAGCTCATGTCCTTAAATGGTTAAACACGACACAGTTCCCAGCCCTCCAAAAGCTTCCAGAAGCTTAGTTGTCCAGAACAGAGCACGGGTTATAAATATGCATTATAATTCCGTTTTCAGTGCTTTCCCATCTCCTTCCTATAACAGATTCAATTTAAAACAAAGGTCAGTCAGGAGAGTTGCTAAAATAGCACCAGTTATTAGGTCTGTTAGCAGAATTTCTGAAAAGCCATAATTATCGATAGGATGACGAGCGTGATGCTGCTGAAGATGGTGGATGTTAACGCTGCACGTGTCCAAACGCCTGTGCTTATTGTCAGACATCCATAACCCACACTTGGGGTTCAATGGGGTGGAGGGTGGGTTCTCATGGAACCACGGGTTAACCTTGTCAACCGTGAACAACTCAGGAAGAGAACCCAGGATTTCTGCCTGAGCTGTGAACTGTGGGCTGTTCATCATGGTTTGTTATCTGGGCTGGGTTCAGAAAACACAATAACCCACATTTCAAGAAGCACCCACAGTTCAATGACAACCCACACTGAATATGGGTTGTCATGAGGTTTGACATGAGGGTTGCTGAGTCTGTATCTCAGCAGGTGATTCTGAACTTGGGGAATCCCTGGCCAGCTCCTGGCTTCAACTGAAAATGGGACCAGGAAAAATAGGAGCAGGTAGTGAAAGGTGACAGGAGGGATTTCTCCTGGCCAGAGAGATCTGGGACCACCTATGAGCCAGTGAGAGAAGGTGGCTTCCCACACTCCCATGGGTATTCATCTGCTAAGCAAAGGATGAGAATCAAGGCGCACCGAGCTGTGATGGCCGAGTGGTTAAGGCATTGGAATCGAAATTCAACAGGGTTTCCCTGCGCAGGTTCGAATCCTGCTCACAGCGCGAGGCCCGGCTTTTCAAGGATAGGGCATGCATATGGTGGGCATGTCATGAGCGGAGCCGGCTGGAGCCGGGGGTCAGACTAGATGACCTTGGAGCCCCCTTCTGACTCACTCTGTTTCTAAGTTGGGAACCAAGTTTCTAGCTGTGGCTAGCAATTCCCTTCTCCTGCTTGGAGTTCCCTCTCCCCAAGGCCCCCGCCAGAGCAATGCAACCCTGTTCTTGTAAAACAGCCCTCAAATAATGTCCTCCACCTGCACAGGTGGAAAAATGAGATGGGAAGGAACCGGGACAAGATCCAGCCAACCTCCTGCTCAGTACGGGCTCTGTCCTGTGGCATCCATGCCAGGACGGAAGACTCCACTACGTCCCCTTTCTGCAGTTCACCTCCTCTTACTGTTTTGCTTCGTAATTCAGGAAGGTTCTATGGATGGTTTACTGTTTATTATTTACCTATTTACGGATTTTATTCTAATTGGTTTGGGACTGCTGTGTTATAGTCTATATTATACCTATGCAAACGATGTTGTCTTGCTTTATTGTATTGAGCCGTTTTCTTTCCATTTTTATTGTAAACCTTCAGAGAGGCTTTTGGCTAATGCAAGCAGTATATAAAACCCTAATAAATTAATTAAATAAATATGGCATGTCTCAGAGCCATTGTCTGCAGTCTCTGTAGGCAAAATCAAGGTGGAACCCAGGAAGACAAAGAGCCCACTTTTCACCCCTAAAATGCAACGTAAACATTCCAGGTCACATGCAATATAAAGTCAAGGAGTTTAGTTTAGATATGAGTTTCGTTTCAGAAGTCAAATGTTGCCAAGTACGCAGTCAAAACAAGGCACCTTGGCTGATTGGATCCAGATTTCCTCATACATAGAGCAGAAACATAGGAACCGACTCACCGAGATCCCATCGATTCCAGTGGTCTGACTATGACCAAACCTGGATCCAAGCCACTCAATGGCAACATTTTGGGAAAGCAGCTGCTCTTCCTGCTACGAGGAGCAGCTAGCGCACCCTCTCCATGCCTCTTGCTCCTCTTTGACCCTCAAATCCAAGGCTTACCGATTCATGACAGCAGCTGGTCCCGACCCGATTCAGGAGGTGCTTGGGGCTCTCTCCGTTGGTGCCCACCAGGGTGATGGAGATGGAGTCAAAAGTGCCAGTTAAGAGACCTTTCCCAGTGGTCACCTGGACCTTGTAGATCACCGGTTGGTTCGGCTTGTTGTGGAAGACCCCGAGCTGCTCCATCCTGCCCAGGCCCGGGCTGTCCGGAGATCGGGCTGCGGAGTATCTGGGAAGCTCGGAGTAGCCTCCCGTGTAAGTGTGATGAACTGGCGAGGCAAACATCTGCTTTAAGAACCGGCTCGTCTCCCTTTCGGTTAGCTACGCCCAGCTGCCTCCGAGCAGCAGAGCAAGGTGTCGAGCCACAGCCCCGCCTACCCCCTTCACCTCCTCGGTGCCTGCCTTCCGCAGCCCGGGTTTTATTTATACACCCGCCTTCCTCCAGGCTCGCCCCCCAAAAAGCGCAAGAATGGCCACACATGTCTCCCTCGTGGGTGGCGGCCTCACACAGAGATGATGGAGACAGGGCCCCTAGGGCGGGGAGATCCGGCAAAGATAGGAGATCGAGTCTGGTGAACGAGTTGGCCAGATGCAGAGAAAGGGGCGTTGGTTCATTCTGCACCCATGCATATTGGAGGGGCAGCAAAAGGTTTGCATGCTGAACATCCCTGCTTCGTCCTAGCTGGCAGGTTCTGCAGCTTTTGAAAAGACAAAACGAAATACTTCCCCGCCACAACGGGGGTGTAGTACTTGCATAAATCCCAGATCTCAGGTCAGTTCCTGCAACCTGGGCTTCGCATGTGCTGGATTGCACGAGGCCAGGTGAGCTTGCGAGGGCAGGAGTTATAATCCAGCAGAGGCTGACACTGGACGTGTGGCAGAGCCACAACATCCTGCTGTCAGTGGGATTTCAACATGGCCATTTCATCATCACCATCATCCGCAGCAATCAATCTTCTGGAGACATTGGCTTCCAGATGTTCCCGATGAACCTCCCTTTTAAAATGTGTCTGTTGCAAAAGCACAGTTACAATCTTCCTTGCGGAATCACCTTTCTGTCTCAATTAATCCTGTAAGAATGTATTGTATTCAAGACAGTAAACTCCCAACTCAAGCCAAAGCTATTATGTGAAGGTGTCTCCCAAGACCAGCCTTCCCTGACTTGTTGCCCCCAGGTGCCTGGACTTTAACTCCCCTCAGCCGCAGCCAGTGGTCAGGGAAGATGAAAGATACAGTCCAAAGCATCGAATCAGCTTGGAGCAGGCTGCCCGGATGAACTGCATTGCGCTTGGCATCTCAGGGTTCTCTGTTCCACCCATCCACCCTCTTCATCTCACTTCTTTATTTTGTGACTTATTTCTCACATTTATGTCCTGGTTCCTGACAAAAAGATGAAAGTTGCAAGCATAACAACCAACGTCGGCCTTCAGGTATAACAATATGGCACAGCAGTGAATAATCGATCTACTAACCAGTAACAGCCTAGGTTGCTGGAAAATTCTGCCTCTGACTGGGTGGGTTGCCTGGCTCTTGAGCTCCAGCCATCCTCCCCAGGAACCTCAGGACTCAGGGGATCACTTTTGGAGCCATTCAGGAGTGGTTCTGAGTGGCTGACATATTCAGGACAGAAAAGCTGTTTTCCTGAACTACAAGTCTCTCCAGGTCCTTGGGGTTTTGTGTGGTTGGTGAAGCGTGCGGCTTGATGAATTGTGTGGAATTATTTTCTCTCTGTGCTCTGTCCTGCTCTGGGCGAGCTCCTCACAGCAGCTTGGATGGCATGTGCGGACCTTGGAACAGGGGGAATGGTTCTGCTGCCTCCTAGTAGTGAGCTGGACAGAACGGCCGTCTGATTCTGAATGACTTTTCAGACTTTGCGTCCCTTTTGGTTGTGTCCTGCCTTGCTGTGGAGCAGGAGGGCAGCCTGGTCCGGGCGGCTGCACCTGGGGAACCTTCAAGCTGTGGCCAAGGGTCGCTTATTTAGTTTAGTCTGATATGCTGAATGACATGCTATGCTGACTGCGAAGCTCATGTGTAGCGTGCAGCCTCTTTCCGCCCGAGGGGCAAATCTCATGTGATGAAATATAATGCCAGCATATTTGCGCGATTGGGCCCGCTTGCCTCAAAATATGGACTTCCAAGCTAGAAAGTTCAGACTCTGAAGGTGAGGTAGATGAAGAGGAGGAGGAGTTGGACTGTACGACTGAAATGCAAGGGTTAATGGGTGAGATTAACCAGGTGGCTTCTGAGAACCAAACAGCTTCTGATTCAGGTTGAGGCACAAAGAAGAATTGGCGGAAGGAGCATGAGTTCATTAACCCAGATTCATCATCAAGCCAAATAAATGGACCTATTAAATCATGTTCAGCAGCCCTACCATCTAGTTCATAAGTAACATGAACCTCTCTGAGGGTGGAGCCAACTCCTTTTGGAGATGAAAGAGGGAACCTCCCTGAGGGTGGAGCTGGACCCTTTTGGAGGAGAACACAAGAGGGGGATTCAGTTTGGAATCAGCTTCTAACATGGGAACGACCTAACTCCACCGATTAGAGGGATCACTACTTTGGTAGATGCTGATTATTAACAACTATATTATTGCTCACTCAGTATTGCAAAGCAAGCTCTGACTGGCCAGCTTAGCTCAATAAAAGGCTGGACTTTAAAAGCCCTTTACCTTGCTCTGTTGGAAAGGGAAAAGGGGAGGGACATGTTCACAACAGCATTGCAGCTTGAAGCTCTTCCTGCCAGATTGTAAACCTTGGGAAAGGCATTTTGAACTGTTTGACTGAGAAAAACACTGCAGGAAAGCCAGGAAACCAAATGATAAGAGCTTGGAGGAAATGATTGTGCAAAGAAAGAGGATGGGGAATCCCAGAGGGCCAGATCTGGACCTAACTTACCCGATCCTGTTCTTTTTTACTTTTGTGTAAGACCCAATCCATTGCACAGAAGCGCGTGAATGGGGTGGGGGTTTACACCTTTCCCTTCAGCACTTCCTCCCTAAGCTCCCTGCTCAAGCCCATGATCAAGAAAGGAAAGGGAAACTCCATTAGCACAATTTCTTTTTCTCTCTTAGTCCCCGCAAAGGAAAGGAGGGCGGAATAGAGGTGCTGGAAACATTTAAGCTCCCTAACTGCATGCTGGTCTCAGTCTGGACCATGACACGGTGTGCTACACCAGAGTAAAAAGAAGTTGGTATTGGCAACGGGTTGTGCCTTTCAGGTAATGTTTGGGGGCTTCCCAGGGGTTCAGGGAGGTCCCTGAAGGTTTGTGATGTTTATTTACAAGAATCCAGGCTGATGCAGCCTGCAACACTGGCCCAGAGGTGACTGGGTTACACCCACGCCTATTAGGGTGAGATGTATTTTTTAAAATGTAAATCACACTGTTTCTGACCTGCCTCTGTGGGGCACAAGCTAGTGATATGCAACTTGGTCTCCTTGTTTATCTTCATTAACCTCCCTAAGCAGGGTGGGGAGGTTATCACACCGAAAACTCCCACAGACAGGTAGCTCCATCGCCTGCAGAGCTCCTGGGAGAGAAGGTGAAGCAGCGGGACCTAAAACCCCCTCTGCACTGCTTTCCCCTGCTCCAGCTCTACCCACTGTGTTGCTCTTGAGAAGCAGCACTCTGCCTCCCCAAACTTTTACCGTTTTGCTACGCACAGCCCACTTCTCTGCTCTGCTTGGCTTCGGTGCCAGGGGGAAAGAGAAGAAAGGTAAGAACTTGGGAAGCAGTCCGCTGGGTCAAGTTCTGGTCCTGCCTTCTGTCCACAGAGTGGCTGCCCAGCTGCCCACAGGAATCCCAAATGCAGGACCCCCCAAGTCCTGGCTCCGTTCACAACATCGCTGAGCCTTTTCTCAGGCTGATTCCTTGTGATTTATCCAAGAGAAAGACCCACCCTGTGTCTTTACACTAGTATAGTGATGGTCTAGAAGGGGCCCATCCCCAGATTTGGATGAAGAAGGTTCCAGGCTTGGGTGCCAGGATTTTCAGGGAACCCAAGCCGCCCCGAGGCTTCGGCGAATGGGGCGGCATAGAAATTTTCTAAATAAATAAATAAACCCCCACAAGCAAAACAAAGCAAGGCAGGGCAGGGCAGGGCAAGGAGCACCAGGGCTCTGGCTCTGCAGCTTCCCTTTTCACTGCCATAGTCTACCCTGCAGTCCAAACTCTCCTTCTCTTCATTTCATTCCTTCCAAGTAGGTTGGGATGAGAATCCAAATCACCCAGTGGGCTTCATGGCTGCGTGGGGACTCGAGCCGAGACCTCCCGCCTCCCAGTTCGGCACCTTCACCTCTGCACCACGCAGGCTCCAGCCGTCATTGGTTTTGGAGGCAGGGTCCCCAAGCCTGCAGAAGGAAAAGATGCGTCTATTCCCACGGGAATGTGAGGAAATAAAGAATAGGAAAGCAAGGTGCCCTGCACCATATGAAAGCAACCTCTGTTCTGCGGTGCTCAGCATTGCTTCAAAGGTTGCAGCTGAGGGGGAAACTCCTTGCAGGAGAACGTGAATTGCACCACGATCAGCAGACCTGGTTCTCCTGGACCAGCTGAGCGTATTTTTAAAGGGTTATTTGTTTTTTCTCCTCCAGAGGGAGAAATGACCTTAATAGAGAGAATCCTACTGAATCCCAGTGGTTTTCCATGCATGGAGCTGTGGAGGATTTTCTCTCCTCTCCTTTGATCTGTCTGTCTGTCTGTCTGTATTTATTTATTAAAACATTTTTATGCCGCCCCATTCGCCGAAGCCTCGGGGCGGCTTACAACAAAAAATTAAAATAGCATTTTAAAATATATACAATAAAATACATATATATAATATAAAACAAACACTATAAAACAAGCCGCCCTGGCCAAATAAAATTCAATAATATTAACATTTAAAATACTGCTTAAATAAAAAGGTCTTCGCCTGGCGCCGAAAAACAAATAACGACGGCGCCAGGCGGACCTCTCTGGGGAGCACATTCCATAACTTAGGCGCCACCGCTGAGAAAGCCCTCCTCCGAGTAACCACCCTCCTAACTTCTTCCACGGAGGGCTCCCAGAGAAGGGCCTCTCCCGCCGATCTCAGGGGGCGGCTGGGCATATAAGGATGTAAGCGCTCCTTCAGGTAACCAGGACCCAAGCCGTTTAGGGCTTTATAGGTCATTACCAACACCTTGAATTGGGCCCGGACTTCAATGGGAAGCCAGTGAAGCTGACGGAGGACTGGAGTCATGTGAACATAACGCCCAGTCCCCATCAGCAGCCTGGCAGCTCTATTTTGGACCAATTGAAGTATC